ATCACCCTTCGTGGTTTTACTCTCGTCCTCACCATAAGAATCAATATAATAGGCACGGAATGGTACATCGTGCGGCACGGCATCACCCTTCGTGCTTTTACTCTCTTTCCTCACCAAAGCAAATATATGATAAAATGTGCACGGCATCACCCTTCGTGCTTTACACTTTTTCCTCACAATAGCAAACAATGCACGGCATCACCCTTCGTGCTTTAACGCTCTTCCTCACCCAAACAACAATCACAAACAATAGGGCAAGGAAATAAAGAAAATTTGCAATAAGAATCTCGGCAAGGGAGCAACAAGTCAGCAATTGAATCCCGGCAAGGGAACAACATCAATAATATCCACATCCCGGCAAGGGAGATAACCAAATAAACAATAATATCCCGGCAAGGGAACAATTTAATAACTCTTTCTCTTTTCACTTTTACTTCACAACTCGCTTTACCACTTGAGCCAATGCTCCAAAGGATTCGATCAACTCACTTACCTTCACAAATTCGTAATTAACTTGAGCCATCGCTCCAAAATATACAAAAGTCACAATTACTTCCTTAACTTTTCACAACAAATAGAAATCACTTCTAAAGCATAGATTGTTCAACGAAATCATGAAAATCACATTATAAGACTCACGGTCATGCTTGACACCATACTCGTCACCTTGCCTATACTCTCACCAATTATCACATAGCAAATAGGACTCAACTCCTAATCCCTCAAGCTAAGGTTAGACCAAACACTTACCTCGATGCCTTGAACACCACTCGAGTCTCAATTATAGCTTTACCCCTTGATTCCACCGCCAATTCGCTCGTATCTAATCACAAATTACTTAATTACATTAATAAACACTAAATGAATCAACCCCAATGCATGAAAATGAGTTTTCCAAAGTTTTACCCAAAAAGTCAAAAATCGCCCCCGGGCCCACATGGTCAAAACCCGAGGTTCGAACCAAAATCCGATTACCCATTCCCCCACGAACTCAAATATATAATTTGTTTTTAAATCGGACCTCAAATTGAGGTCCAAATCCCAATTTTTGAAAAACCTAAGTTCTACCCAAAACACCCAATTTTCCCCATGAAAATCTTTGATTTTAGGTTGAAATCATGTTAAAAGATGTAAATGATTGAAAGAAATGAGTAAAAACTAACTTACAATTGATTTGGAAGAAGATTTGTTCTTGGAAAATCGCCCAAAGGAGTTGTGTTTTGAAAATGGTGTGAAAAATGACTTAAAATCGGTTAAGTATAGAAAATTGCAGGTCTCTGATATGGGAAATGCGAACAGGGGTTCACAATTACGAACCCCGACCCTCAGATGTGGGAATTGCGAAGTGAAGTTCGCATTTGCGAACACTGAACAAAATGCGGGACTTCGTATTTGCGACCAAAAATGTCGCATTTGCGACACCCCACTTCGCATTTGCGAGCCATTTGGTCGCATTTGCGATCAGTTGCAAAGTTTTCCCTCCTCACATTTGCGATGCCAGGCTCGCATTTGCGAGACTTGCTTCGCAAATGCGAAAACTGCAGAACAGGCATCCAGATTATTTTCAAGTTCAAAAATGCACCTGTCGCCTATCCAAAACTCACCCGAGCCCTCGGGGCTCCAAACCAAATATGCACACAACCTCAAAAACATTCTACGGACTTATTCGTGCGATCAAATCGCCAAAATAACATCATATACATCGAATTAAACCTCAAAATCCAAGAATTCTTTCAAACTTCATAAAACATCAAATTTTCCAATTTAGGTCCGAATCACGTCAAACGGCGTCCGTTTTCAACCAAATTTCACAGGAATGACTTAAAGCATATATAAAACTTGTACCGGGCGCCAGAACCAAAATACAGGCCCGATACCAACACGTTCCAATCAAATATCATCTCAATTTTCTTTAACAATTTCAGAAAAACAATTTCTTTAAAAATTTATTTCTCGTGCTCGGGACCTCGGAATTCGATTCCTGGCATACGCCCGAGTCCCATATTTTCCTACGGACCCTCCGGGACCGTCAAATCACGGGTCCGGGTCCGTTTACCCAAAATGTTGACCAAAGTCAAATTTATTCATTTTAACATCAAAATTTAACATTTTTCACAGAATTTCACCTTTAAGCTTTCCGGCTACGCGCCCGGACTGCGCACGCAAATCGAGGCAACTCTAAATGAGGTTTTCAAGACCTCAGAGACACAAAATTCAATTAAAACAGGTGATGACCCTTTGGGTCGTCACATATTGTTTTGCCTTTCCTATTCTATATAGATAGATTTAAGGTAGGTGATTAAATAAATGGGGGTAGTTTAGTAAACACAAGTGCGTGTTTCCTTTGGAAAAAAAGAAAAGGAAACTTGGCAACAAGCTATTAAAATTAAATTACTCCCCCTATATTGAACTAGCTTTTAATGTTTATAAAAGAAATATGTCAAAGATTTCGGCGGTTGACACTGCCATTTTATCCAATCAACCGCCATTTTACTTTTGTAGTATTAATGCATATACTGGCGGTTTTAGTGAACGGCCATAATAAAATCGCCACAATATCAGCAATTTTTTTATAATGCCCCCGTTCAATTTTATTTATCCACTACACTAAAGATATATTTTCACTTTTACTTGTAGTGAATCCAGAGAAAGACACTTTTTTTATTCCTGTTTTATCCTTATCATTAACTATTTATTTCTCAAATCATTTTCCAAGACTTTTGAATATATTATTATTATTATTATGTGTAAAGTTATAAAATACACACATTATTTTTTTTTTCTTAAAGGGAATGCAATATCAAAAATAGACAACTAAAAATGAATAAAATGGGTAAATATATTAAAAAAAAATACTAAATCCTAAATAAATTTACTAATCTTAATTTAATTTCGACATGTATAATTATTGCTCGAGATGCATCCGGTTACAAAATGGGCCAGCAGGGTTTAATTGTAATTTTATCAAAATACCTAATGTTATAGTTCGACGCATGCTGCCCGCTTTAATCTTTTACAGGTTTGACACATACTCTAGCAAAATTTGGGGAGAAATTCAAGAATAGCCAGATTTACAAGTGGTCGTTCAAAAATAGCCCTGTTTCAAAAGTAATCGAAATTTAACCATTTTTCATGTAAAGTGAATCTGAGTGAAAACACTGTTCAAAACCCGAAAAATACGCTAGTATACTATGCTGGATTTCCAGCATAAGTACACTGGAACTCCAGCATAATATACTGGAGTTCCAGCAAAGTATACCGATCCAGTATAATATGCTGGAAGTTCATACACAAGTGGTCGAATCTCCAGTATATTATGCCGGGACTTTCCGTATGTTGGAGTTCCAGCATAATATGCTGGAAGTTCATACAAAAGTGCACCGAACTCCAGTATATTATGCTGGACTGGTCTCTGTTGCAGCAAAATAGTGACTATTTTTCATTGACTTGGCAAACTTTGGCTATTTTTGAATGACCAGTCCGAAAACTGGCTAGACTGTGCTATTTTTACAAAAATTTGGGATTGCTCATAGACTCCCTATGTGAAATTATTCTCGGCTTCTTCGATTTTGTTTGTGCAAATCTTTGATGATTTCTAAGTTCCTCCTCTTCTTTGCTCCCTATCTCTTCCAAGTTTCTGCTATACAAATTAGACATGCAGTATACCTTTACTTTAAATAAATAGAGCAAGAGATAATTTTATAATATTTCTATTATATATGTATTAATATATACAGTTGGGCACATAGTAAAAAACTAATTTTATCCACACAAAAAAAAAAATTGACTATCCATTCTACATTAAAATGGAGAAGACTCGTGCTTTTAAAGAACTTACAGTTGTAAGTTGATTTCCATTGTTTGAAATAATTTGTTTTAAAAACATAATTTTAACAATTCAATTTAAAGTTATGATCACCCGTAATAGTTCAAAGACGGATAAATTATATTTTTATTTTATAACTTAGTTGACTTCATGATACACAATAATTATTGCACATAATATCTATTCTTGCATTAAAAAATAGTGCTGCTGCAAATAATGGGTTATGCAATATTTGATTGTTAGTAAAAAAAGACAAGTATTTCTACAACTTTGACATACTTTGGATTATTTAATTCTATTATTTAAATTTTGATCCTCCGATTACTAAAAGTACTACAACCACTACAACCTGCAAATATACTCTTAACACAAAAAAAAAAAAAAAAGCCATAAAATGGGAATGACCAAGAATGAGCCGTGCAACTTTTCAGCTGTTGAAAATTCTTGTGTTCCACTGAAACTGTTTACCCCTCAAAGTAAATTTAGTTAGATTCTAAAGAAAGTATTATGCAAGTTATAAGTAAATTTAGTTAGATTCTAAAGAAAGTATTATGCAAGTTATGCAGACAGGTAGACGCGAAGTAATTTAGCACATGAACAACACATCATGTAGTCAACCTCCAGAAGAAAAGAAACAGTGGAGGACTCAGTTTTAAATTGAGTTAATACCCTCAAACTCGCCTAATGGTGAAGAAATGGTGAAGAAAGGTGAAATAATGGAGAAGATGGTGTAATATAAAGAAAAAGGGGATAAAATATAAATTTTTTAAATAAATGGCCTAATTAGCCGTTATTCAAGCTGTCCGGTGGGCCCCTTTTCATGTTGATTTTCACCATTCACGCGCTCTTGCGCAACTGATTTCACACACTATGTCACATAAGCGACGGGGTGTTTTATTATGAAGGGGTTATAGTTCAGGAGGTTTTCGGGGACACTCATAGTTTAGGTAGGAAATTGACAAAGATCGTATAGTTAGGCTGGTTTGAGTGTATTAACTCTTTTAAATTCCCATGTCTAAATGAACTATCATCTTAGTTTTAAATTCCCATGTCTAACTGAACTATCAGACTTTTCTTATATTTTCTCTGATGGTTTAAACATGTATATATTTCTTTCTGTTATTTTTTAACAAGTCTACTCTGGAGTCTCCAAGTTTTCTACCTACAAATAATAACTAACATCCACCATGGGTTCTAAGTAACCAAGCTATTGTAAAGCACAGACTAATTCAGGGGAAAAAACAATGTCTCATGAACCAACTTTTGATAGTTGGTGTGATATCGTGCTACTTCTGTTTTAGGATCAATGACGACTAAGGAATGGACTTGCAAAGTTCAACTCGTGGACAAATTTCGGCCAAGAGAAAGCAGGGATCACCGGGTTCGATTTCAAACAATAATTGTTCAAGATGAAAACGTAAGTGGAGTTACAACTATAACGGTAACATAAGATGTTCTAACTTGTACTCTTCCAATATTTGCTGCATTATTCGTCTCAATAAAATTGTAAGACGAACAAATTTGTGTAATACCGTATGGTGATGACATTGGACGATGTGATAAGTTGTTGTTCCAACTTTTTGAGACGTATCTCATTTCAACTGCCAAAGTTAGAGATCAACAACCCTAACCAATACACATCGGTCAGTTTGAATGGGTCATCGACAAGTTCACTATTGTGGAGTCTGTTCCAAAAAATAATGAAAAGGAGGCACTGTTACCTCCTCCGAGGAGTCTACATATGATTCATTCCTCCATGTCGAACAACAGCCGTGTCGAATTTGATTAGCTATACTTTCCGTAATTCTTCCATGCTTCACTATTAAAAGATTTAACTTTTATTCATCATCTTTAAAGTCAACATATGCTTAGCTAGGTTAAGCGATACTGAGAAACTGATGAACGGAAACTAGGGGAAAAGGGACAATTTCTCTTTCGAACCTAAAAGAGAAGTAGCACAATATCACACCAACTATCAAAAGTTGGTTCATGAGACATTGTTTTCTGAAAGGGAAGCATGGAAGAATTACAGGAAGTATAGCTAACCAAATTCAACACCACAAGGTTGTTGTTCGACATGTAGACTCCTCGGAGGTGGTAACAGTGCCTCTTTTTCATTATTCTTTGGAATAGACTCCACAATAGTGAACTTGTCGAAAACCCATTCAAACTGACCAATGTGTATTGAATAGGGTCGTGGATCTCTAACTATGGCAGTTGAAATGAGATACGTCTCGAAAAGTTGGAACAACAACTTATCACATTGTCCAATGTCATCACCATACAGTATTACACAAATTTGTTCTTCTTACAATTTTATTGCGACGAATAATTCAAAATATTGAAAGAGTACAAGTTAGAACATCTTATATTACCGTTATAGTTGTAACTCCACTTACGTTTTCATCTAAAACAATTATTGTTTCAAACCGAACCCGGTGATCCCTACTTTCTCTTGGCCGAAATTTGTCCACGAGCTGAACTTTGCAAGTCATTCTTTAGTCGATGGTGTAATTTTCCATTCTATCAGTATAATTTGCATATTAATAACAGCAAAATTGTAAGAACAAAGCATCCAAATATAAGGCAGCAAATTTACCGACAAATAAACTATATGACAGCAATTTTGCTGTTATTTATATGCAGGTTATACTGATAGAATGGAACAAAGACTTACGATCAATGAAATTACACCATCGACTAAAGAATGGACTTGCAAAGTTCAGTCCGTGGACAAATTTCGGCCAAGAGAAAGTAGGGATCAGCGGGTTCAGTTTCAAACACTAATTATTCAAGATGAAAACGTAAGTGGAGTTGCAACTCGACGACTATGTCTCTTTGTCACCTTGCAACTCGAGATCCCCATCAACTTCAAGCCACCAGATTTGTTGAAGATAAGCTACAGTTTGGAATCTACATGAAGAATGAGAATATTGGTATCAATCAGCCAATTCATTACATATGAGGAAGTACAAATTAACTTTAAAGGTATAGTACACAATAAAGATTGCTAACGGTGTGATTATATATGGGGAATTAATTGAAAATACACTTGAACAAAATTAAAATTTCACTTGACCCACTTAGAAATCCTCGACATATTGAACCACCATTATACTATTAAAGATCAGACCGAGCACCAGGCAAATCAGAGAGAAAACAAAAAGTTCCTCTCTCCATCTTTCAACTTCATCCTAAATTAACTGTTTCTGGATATCATTAGTGACTTGTTTGTGATACTTGTAATCTAGCAGAGTAATTTTGAAAATGGACAAATCCAACTTCCACCAGACCAACAAATCAAAGGCAGAGCTAGAAAAATAATAAACTGGTACTTGTATCTCAATAAACCAAGTGATCAATTTGATCTTTGTATACAGTAATGATTTTTTTTCAAATAATAAAACGGGCAAGATTTACAAAGCAGTGAATCTCACTTACTGAATTTATGTGACATCTTTTGGACTGGCAGTTGCTTAAGCTTTCAACTCGGAAAAAGAAAACATCTTTAGAAGAATAATTAACTCAAGATAACTGCCGTCACTTTGGCTTTCTTATGACATACTCTGTCGTTTTATCAAGGATTTCTTGGAACTTCAAAATTTTAAATTATGTATTGAGCTAATAAATGATTTATGATTCAATAAATCAGATATATAGATTCTTTAAAGGAAAAAATATTGTTGAGATAATCATGCTGCTTATATAATCTACCTTTTGAGTAGTACACTTCTGGGGTGATATTTCAATGTCGACTACTAATTGGACTCTTACAAAAAAAATGTAAACCTTTTTAACACAAGAAAAAATAAAAAGTCAAGTCTATTAGGACAGAGGAGTACCGCTATGTAAACCTTTTCTTCTGTGGTGCACATAGAGAAACCAGACCCCTCCAACACTTCAGCGGTTGAACTCCTAAAATGTCCAATCTCAGATTTTCCAAGAAGTCACTCATCTGTAATAACAACCAGATTGCTATAACAGTTAAGAAGCTTAAATAGAATTATCAAGATGAAACAAAAAATCATCCAACTGTAACAAAAAGAACCTAGTCTAACTTCTCAGCAAAAAAAGTATAAGGCTCGGCGAAAGCCTAAAAAAGAGTTAAAGACAGCAAATGCAATACTCAATATATAAAATATCCATATTTCACCACAACATTCCCTTGATAGCCCTGTGTCAAGTTTCAAAATTACCTGAGCAATCAAGTGAGGCTGTAAGGATTGAACAGAACTTACAGTGTGCAACTTTTTATGGCTGTTAGGAGGTTCAGATATTCTTATTTATATACCATTGATCACAACAGCAAAAGTTGTTTTTGTAAATTTAGACTACACATTTAAATCAGTTAATGTTGTGAGTTAACAATTATTGAAACATCATAACAAGAAAAAGGTTAATTGCACTTTCTTTCGGGCAATTTCTCAAACACTCCTAATACAAACCCAAATGCACTTTGTATAATAACAAACACAAATGCGTTCTTAGTGCACTTTGATAGAGGTCAAACAGATGAAAATTAAGACTAAGCCCGCAAAAAAAGAGTAAGTTGAAGACGCACAAAAGCGAGCGCAACAACATATCACCAATTAGCTTAAAATTTTAGACAAAAGTAGTCTAAATTTCTATCCAAGTTAAAAACAAACTGAATCTTAAATCTAAATAGCGTTGATGGTCAGACCTTAATTGCATATGAGCCAAATCGCAAAAACTTGGAAGAGGTAGTCCAGATATGTGCAAGCGGAAGCGGTAAACTGAACAGGGAGATGTCAGAATTTCCCAACGGAGCAGCAGTGATAAGGATGAGAAGCAGAGAGCAGTATAGGGACGAACTTTTATGTTGTAGTAACCACGCGTCAAACACAGAAGAAAGCCGGTAATACGTGTCTGTAAGGTTAATGTGTATGCAATTGTGATAATACCCTCCTGACCCATTTTACAACCGGATTACACTCTTTTTAGATGGATCGTTTTATAACGTATTATATTGTATATATGATATTTATTAGGATCGGAAATTTAATTTAGCCAAATAATATTATAATAACAATAATAAATGCAATGTAAATTGATAATAAAGGTAATTAAAGTAGATAAGAAGGCACAAATTTAATATGATTTGGTCATGATGACCTAGTCCACAAGCGGAGAAGAGCAATTTACTATATCAACAAGAGTAGGGCTGCTTATCGGGCGGATTGGGCGGTTATTCTTAACGGTTTGGCTAATCGGTTATCGGCTTTTAAATGTATTAATCCGCTAGCCACCCGATAAGATATCGAACAGATTGGTATCGGTTTAGTTCTTATCGGGCGGTTATCGAGTAGTTTATCGGCCTAATTCAATCTATATTGCACATGACGCTCTTTGAGTTCAGAGCAGACTTACTTCCTTAGGACTTCGAAGCTGGAAAGGAAAGATAGTAACTCATTATATCAATAAGAACAAACTTTTGAAGCATAGCAGCAGGAGATAGTAATCTGGAGACTAACCCATACTGGTTGAGTCTCATTTGAAAGCTCCCAGTCCTTCTCCATAATTTTTTTGGTCTTCTTCTTTTTCTGTTGCAGAGAGTTGAAAATTTCATCAGAAATGGAAAAAGACAACAGCAAAATCAACAAAGCTACCCCCAGAATATGTACTACTCCTAGCTACCTCAGTTGTCGCATCTTCTCCTTCCTTCTTGGCTTTTGCCGGATCCTCATCAACTTCAACCTGTAAAGAGACAATATCACGGAACCACAAGGCGATAAGAAGTTATATCCAGCTTACATAACATGGAACGTCAAAAATGTAAGACCCCAAGCATGTTTTGTGGCCGTTGATAGAAACAAGTGAATTTAGGCGTTAGGGTTTCTAAATGTCTAATAGTAAATTAGTAATAGAGAACAGAGATAGAGTACCAGAAGTGGAAGAAGGGTTTTAGATTATTTAATATATATATGGATAAAAATAAATTATATATATATATATATATATATATATATATATATATATTCTTAACGGGTTAACGGATTATCCGTTGAGAAAATTGAATAATCCGCTCCCCAAACCGATAAGCTGTTAATAAAAAAATTTTAAGCCATTAAACTTAAGCTTCGGTTTCGGTTCGGTTTTGAACACCCCTAAACAAGAGTACAAAAGAGAGTACAAAATTAGAATAAATACTCTAATTAATCTCAAATACCCCAAAAAAATAACCTCACCACTCCAAAGAAAGGATTCACACACGTTTTTCCTAACACTCAATCTCTTACAAAATATTCTAGTAGCATGTGAAGGTGTGTCTCGAATGAGAGAGATGGCTCTCCTTTTATAGGACCAAAGTTGGGCTTCAAGCACTAATAAAGGGAAAAAGAAAATTGATCAAATAATCTCTACCACATAATGCATGCTTTGGCTCCAAGGAAAAATTAATGCGATCCATCTCTTCTTGCAAATATGCTTATGCCTATATGAGATGGACTCACTAGCTAAAATATTGGTTCATATTATAGTATTATATTGTATCGTTTTATAAATATAATGTTTGGATAGATTGTATTGTTTGCTGCTGTCAAATAACATTTTGATGTTTGGTTTAATTGTACCGTAGTGTACACTAATAAATTTACTAATAAAGTAATTAGATTTAAAATTAAAAATTAATATTATATAGCTAATTGGAGATAAAGTAATTAGAATTGAAGTTAAAAATCAAAGTAAAAGAAAGAACAAAACAAAGAAAAAGTCAAAACTTATACATGACGTTGGGGTTGTCCGACACGGGTGCAGATCTAGAGGTCGGATACTTCGAGGTGTAAATTCTATGATTCGGGGATGCACATCCTAGTACGGATACGGGTGAGGGGATCCGGCTAAAAAAAATTTAAAAAAATAAAATATAGAAGTATCTCTAAATTATGAGAAATTTTGTGGAATATAGCTTGTAAAGTGTGGATTTCTTTTTTATTCTCAAGTTGTAGATAAGTGAATGATTGATATCCTAGATAAGGTATGCTATTTTTTTCAAATTTACCTAGTTTTGGTTCTGATTTCGGGAATCAAATTATATCTTTCTCGAATTTTTCCATCCGTCGTGGTCAAAGTACCCAAAATTGTTTGACTAGATCCGGCACATCCCATACCCATACTAGTGTCGTGTCCACACGGGTGCGGCACCTAAACTGCCGTGTTGGAGCAACTTAGGTCCAACATGCTACTTCACATAGGCATTACTCAAGTATAGCTGAAGTTTGACAAGGAGGGAAGGAGTTGCACACCAAGCTATCCGACAGTTATGTGATAAAGTGGTGTAGGCTGTGCTACTACCAGCAAAGGAGTCCTGAATGTTAGCTTTAAGTGGCATGTGCGGAGTATTTAAAATCATTTGACACAGCGAGGTGAACTGCAAATCCTCTGTTGATCAATTATGTTCTTAGAATATCATCATGCATATTTAGCTAGGAACTATTGTGAAATTAGCTAGTACTGAAACTTTTGGAATTCCTACACTCATATTTAGTTACGAAAAATTGGAATCCGAATACCAACAAAAATTTCTTTCTGTCCATTACATAGTTTGTAGCTTCAATCTTCTTTTAATTGGATTTGCTTTTGTTTCTGACTTAGTTCTGCATTGCCTTTTCAGTAATGCATTTTGTATTTCATAATATGGCATTGCGTAATTGCATTTGCTGGTCATTCATGTAAGAGTCCTTTTGAAGACTTTCAATGATAATCAATGACTAATTAGACGAGTTTGCAACAAAGAGTAAGGTTGTTTATAAAAGATCAGTATATATGGTTCTAGTTTAGTGTAGGTTTCAGACTTATATTTCTGTGCTCGTTAATTGATCTTAATGTGAGAATCTGCATATTCTTTATAAATAGAATATTATATAAAGATCATGTAGGTCAAACAAAACTTTCTTGCTTTTCTTGGTTCATGTAGCGAATACTCTTTCTTCATTTTTGGACGGTTTTTATGCATTCTGCAGAGTTTCTGTGCAGCATTCTGCATTTTTTCAGTTTTTGCATTTCCGCACAGCGTCACTTTTTCAATTCTGCATTTCTGCGCAGCGTTCTGCAATTTCTGCACAGCATTTCGGCATGTCTGCACGGCGTTCCTGCATTGCTTGAGAGTGTTTGAATTCCTGCAGTTTTATATCCCATCCAAACTACTGGAGATGTGAATCTCTATTGTTTAGACAATTCATTTGTCTGCAGACTGCGCGGAAAATTCCCCACTGCTGCCTCCCGTAGGAGTCTGGGCCGTGCCTCAGTCACAGTGTAGCTGATCATCCTCTTGGACCAGCTACCGATCATCGCCTTGGTAAGCTATTGCCTCACCAATTAGCTAATCAGACGCAAGTCCCTCCTCGGCGGATTCCTCCTTTTGCTCCTCAGCCTACGGGGGTTAAGTTAGATTAGAGATGAAGATATTCGGGAGAAGGTAGGCGTGGCTCCCATGGACGACAAAATGCGGGAAGCGAGGCTTAGATGGTTCGGGCACGTGCGGCGGAAAACCCTGGATGCCCCGATTAGGAGGTGTGAGCGGTTGGCATTGGCATGTGCGAGGAGAGGTAGAGGGCGGCCTAAGAAGTATTAGGGTGAGGTGATCAGGTAGGACATGACGCGACTTCAGATTTCCGAAGACAGACATAATTCTTGATAGGAAGGTGTGGAGGTCGAGAATTAGGGTGGTAGGTTAAGAGGGAGGCGGGCGTTTTTCTACTTTGTACTGGGGGCGGGCTAGGCTGATAATGTTTCGCTTTGGGTTGTTAGTGGTTTATATAGCATTATTACTGGTTATTGTTATTGCTTTTCCATTTATCTTGTGTCTCTTACGATGCTGATATTATTTTTTTGGCTTTTGTTGTCACTAATCTCTTCTTGAGCCGAGGGTCTTTCGGAAACAGTCTCTCTACCCCTCTGGGATAGGGGTAAGATGTGCGTATACCTTACCCCCAGACCCCACTTGTGAGATTTTACTGGGTTGTTGTTGTTGTTTTATACTCTCTCCGGTCCAAAATAAAACACACACAGATTAAGAAATCCACCTTTTAGCATTAATTAACAATGAAATTGACCATATTAACCTTTGCTATCTCTTCACATAAATACTCCTAACACATACTCCAACACTATTTACTCCAAGGGCAATGTAGGAAAAAAATAATTAATTCATTCTTAAAATCTGAAAAAATCACTTATTTTGGACCACAAAAAAAGGCCAAAAAATCACTTATTTTGGACCGGAGGAAGTATATACAATTAAACTTCCGTGCCTAGTCAAACGGCTCGCCATAAATTGGGACTAAGAGAGTAATTAGTTGGTCATCAAAGGCTATGCCTATGCCTAATTCTGAAAGCAACGTGTCCAATAAACTTAAAATATTTCACTTAAGACCGCCATTTCCTGAGATGGAGCAGATGAGTTTCTGTTGGCATCATTATTCTACAAACATCAAAATTGCAATTGGATAGTTTAAAAAGAGTGTAACTAAATGCAAGGATTCGAACGTGTATTGTTGATGGAAATGTATACTCAAGAGAGGAATGATATGAACCATGGTTTCTCTCTTTTGACTATACTGCTAACTGCCTACAAAACTGTTCACCCTCTCCGCCCCAAGTTGAAAATTCCTACTCCACCGAATATAATTTTAAAACTGCGGCTGTACATACTGACACACATACAGGAAGTCCGGAACCAAAATGTGATTCTTTTGGACAAGTAGCACCTTAATAGGTGTAAAAAAAAAGATGATATTTTCATATAGAGCGCCCAAATACTGGGCGCTATACATTAACGTTAACTGTGCCGTTAATGTATAGCGCCGAGTATTTGAGCACTATATATAAAAAGCTGCCATGCACAGGTATAGCGCCCAAATACCCGGCGCTATACCCCTTTTTTTAAAAACGAGCCGTCTTCTTCAAGACGACCATTCTGCTTCTTCTTCCTCAATATTTTATATCCGGTTCTTCTTCTCGAAGCTAGTATGTTAAATTTATCCGGATTTAATATTAGTATTTTATAAAAAAATATAAATTTGTCAAATAAATTTGTCTGTTAATATCCTGATTTATATACACACATAACGTAATATTTGACCATGCTATGCTTTGCGTGTTAAAGGTTTCGACAGGTACGAAACAGCTTTATGTCAGTTGGACAGCCTTTTCAGTTCGACAAGACAACACACATAACGTACTCTTTGACCACGCTATATACACACATAATGTAATATTTGACCGCGCTATGCTTTGCGTGTTAAAGGTTTCGACAGGTACGAAACAGCTTTATGTCAGTTGGACAAGACAACACTTATATATAAAAAAAACAACCATAATTAAAATTAAATTAATTAGCCTTATGATATTTCAATATTTTTTCCAGTTCTTCCGAACATATAATTTTTTAAAATATCATTAAAAAAAATTAAAATGGAAAAGTTCAACTCATAATTAACAAACATAATTTTATTTTATAAAACTTGCAACATAAACATAGCAACGTCCTATTACAACATAAACTCAGTGATAGTTAGGCATAATAGAAGAAGGACCACCAAGAGCTTGAGTACTATTGCCTCCCGAACCAGCCGAAGGACATTTTCGACGGTCGTGTCCTGTTTGTGAGCATATACCACATCTGCGCGCATAAACGGTATCACTAACATCCATTTGGTTCCGTATACGCGTTCTCTTCTTTACCTGTATTCGGCGCAAATAGGACTTGTTACACACTATTTTAAATGGTTCAGGCGGCCAATAATGCTCAGCACCCACTGGCTGCAACTGCCCACGATATGTGTTTAGGTACTTCGAAACACTATATTGTTGATCAACATAGTTGGTTGCACCTAAACCAACTTGTTGAAAGCACTTGATGACATGTGAGCAAGGCATGTGGTAGATGGACCATTTTCCACAGAG